AACAGCGACGCTGTCTACCCGCACAAAACATTGCGCCTGCGCTGCAAAACAACATCTGACATGCTACGAGCTACAATTCCCGCACAGGGGCGCGAAAAATGACACGCTTCAAGTCATCCAAATAGCACGTTTTTCGCCTTCCCCATTGGCACGGCAACCGCGACACTCGCAAACACCCATGCACGCATACATGCGTGCAGGCGAACATGCATACCTGGATCTTCCGAGGGTACGTAATTTCTGCCCTTTGGCCAAACTGCAGAAGTTAGTGCCGTTTCAACAAATTTCAGCCGTTTCAATCAAAAATTGCCGTTTGGCGAATTTCCTGAGGTTTCCTTCAATGTTGACAGAGCTTTATTATATCCCAAGTTAGCGCGGCAAATGCGCCTGGAGGAGTGTGAAGGGTACGGCAGCTACGGTTCCCAGATTGTAAAATCACAACAAAAGCTTCGGATAGCAGGTTAAAGCCTGCTACTGCTGCCTGTTCCGCAGCATCGGCTGAGTTTCCTCCACCTCGGCATTCACCCAGCGCTTCTCTCTGCACTCTGCGGCTGTGTGGTTCCCTCCACACACCCGGCCCGTGCGAGAGAGAATGGCACACTGGTGCCTGCGGCCACAATCCTCCTCCGACTGGGCACATGCCCCGGATTGCCACAGCGCACACAGCAGTGCCCCATCACGGAGCGTGGGCGACACCTTCTTGCCCTTGATGGCGCTGGGCATCTCCACATGCGATCGCGCACTGCAGTGGTGCTCTGGCGCTGCTTCAACATCACCAGGCGCTTCTTGATGTCCGCCTTCTCCGCTGGCGAGATCCATAAGGCCGCACTGTCCTGAGCAACTGCGGCGCCAACCGCCTTCTCCGCCGCCGGCAGCACCGCCTCCACTGCCTCCGGCGGGATCACCTCCCAGGCATCAAAGGCCTGTAGGGCATGGGCAATGACAAGGACTTTGTGCTTGGTGCGCAAGGAAAGGGCGTACCTCGCCGCAATCTGCCCCCAGGGCCAGCTACAGGCGAAAACAGCAGGGATGCAGAAGTCGAACCCCTGCCTGTTCTGCCGTTGTTTGCCTCTGGAGCACCGTCCGTGAAAAGTGGAGTGGCTCAACCGCCTGGGCCATGACCTCATGACGTGCGCGTAGCAAAGAACTCCGGTGGCTGTCAGCCACCAGCCCAGCAGGGCTGACCATACTGGGCCATTGGCCCTGTACTTGGACACGATCATGTCCTCCAGCATGGGGAGCATGGGCGGCTCCGCCACTGCAGCCTGCCAGGCAGATTCCCCAGCCTGGGCTGCTTCGCCGAGAGCTGGATCGCCCCCAGGTCCAACGGCAGCTTGGACTGCTTCACCAAGCACTTCAATGATGCCATAGCCCTCGCCGGCGCTGAAGTTCTGTACTGAAAGAAAGAGTCGACATCCACATGCTGGGGAGGGAGAGGACAACCCCTTCCTTCCATGCGCGTGCGCACCTCAGCCCGGGTCTTGAGGGCATTGATGACGGCTGCCCTCTCCGAGAAGGTGAGCAGATGCTTCGCCGCCTGCACAAAGCTTCCCACTCCCCCTTGAGGGCCGGGGTCAACTCCCCGGACAGCCTCATGGCACGAAAGCCCATCAGCGCCCCCGCCAGGACCTCCACATGCCGCAGAACCCCAGCAAGATGGTCCGGCTGCACGGCCAGCGGGGCCGGGGCTCGCCGCCCCTTTCTGGCATTGAGGGCCAGCATGCGGCCCACCGGCGGTCCCTCCGCCACTGCTACAGCCGCCGGCATCAGCCGCTCGTGTGCCTGGCCAGCGCTGTGCCCCCCTCGGCATAGGCGTCCTCCTCAGACAGGAACATGAAGGCGAAGTCATCATCCCGCTCCAAACCACGCGCATTCCTCCATGCGCGCACGTGCAAAATGGGGGGCAGCCCCGGAACCTCGAAACCGTCCCCCGGACGAAAATGCACCACCATCCCCACCGACTGCCACAGCCGAAGAGCGGCGACCCGGTCCCCCCGGGCCTGCACCAGAATGATGTGCTGCTTGAAGTCCAACCCGGCCGCTGTAGACAGCATCCGGCACTCCGTGTGCACCGCCACATCAATGCCAGGACGCAACAGGGGCATGTTGAACTTAGTTAACTCAAAATTGCCAGTTTTGGCTCAAGGCCACTTGAGTCCCAAAATCGCAAGACATCAAGGAATGATCAATGCATACCCAAGCCTACCAAACTCAATGCATTCATAGCAACACATGTTACGTGTTAGTTTGGTTCCCTCACGTTTCCTCGTTTCACACTTGCTTCCAACCTTCTTAGCTTGGATGCAAACCAGCCTGAACTGGATTTGCCTTCTGTTCTAAAGTGCCTTTAGCCACTATGCAAGAAATGCCCTTCAGCACTGCGCACACGCCAGCCACGTGGCTAGCACGCACAATCACGCGCGCCCGTACAGCAACGCGCGCCGCATTCAGAAAACTGGCACAGGACTGCAGCGCCTCCGTTTAACTGAGCCCGCCCAGCACTGCGCACACGCCAGCCAACGCGCGCCGCATTCAGAAAACTGGCACAGGACTGCAGCGCCAGAATGATTTCGATCGATTTCTTGCAAATCTGAAGTCGTGAAAACAAACCGCCTGTACGACGGGGCCAACGACAATAACACTCGAGCAAACAGTTGCACGCGCATTCCAAGCAAAACACCTCAAAACAACGACCCCTGAAGCGCAAATCGCACTGCCGCAACAGCGACGCTGTCTACCCGCACAAAACACTGCGCCTGCGCTGCAAAACAACATCTGACATGCTACGAGCTACAATTCCCGCACAGGGGCACGAAAAATGACACGCTTCAAGTCATCCAAATAGCACGTTTTTCGCCTTCCCCATTGGCACGGCAACCGCGACACTCGCGAACACCCATGCACGCGTACATGCGTGCAGGCGAACATGCATATAGGCATGAACGCGTACAGGCGTACACGCGTACCAAATCCCCTACCAAACCCAAAGCCCCACCATTTTGGCAGCTCCTGCAAACAAACAAACCACCAGGCCCCGTAAGATTACAACAGACTTCTTCACGGTACGACCACATCCAACCAACCAAACGAACAACTAAACAAACACTACAAAGAACTAAGCGCGCAATTTAGGATTTCTGAAGCCCGGAAAATTCTGGATGTGCGGGACCCGGAAAATTTGGGATTGATGGAACCCGGAAAATTTGAGATTTCTGGGACCCGGAAATTTTGGACTTTCTGGGGCCCGGAAAATTCTGCACGCATGGGACCCGGTAAATTTGGCATTGATGGAACCCGGAAGATTTGGGATTTATGGGAACCGAAAATTTTGGACTTCCTGGGGCCCGGAAAATTCTGGATGTATGGGACCCGGTAAATTTAGGATTGATGGGACCCGGAAGATTTGGGATTTATGGGAACCGAAAATTTTGGACTTTCTGGGGCCCGGAAAATTCTGGATGTATGGGACCCGGAAATTTGGGAATGATGGGACCCAAAAGATCTCGGGGCCTGCTTCAAAGTGCGCCGGACCTCTTGCCTCTCCAGGTGGCACCTGCGTTAGCTCTTGCATCGGCAGGAGTCCCCTGTGGGGGCATCCCTCAACTCCCCTAAGGGGAAGCGAGTGCCGATGCAGAGAGAGCAACGTCAGGAGCCACTTAGAGAGGCAAGAGCTCCGACACACTTTGAAGCAGGCTTTGATCCAAGTTGAAGCAGGCTTTGATCCAGCGGACCAATTCCTGCGCTCTGAAACACTTGTCAGCTAGCAATCTACTAGTGTCTGAGGGAAGAAACAAAAGTCAATTCATCTCACCACCAACAAAGCATCAAGCAAAGAATAGCCATGCAGCCAAACAGAGCCCGGGCATCCACCCAAAAGGTGCCAGCTGGCAATCTACTGGTGTCTGAGGGAAGAAACAAAAATCAATTACGCTAACCACCAACAAAGCATCAAGCAAAGCATAGCCATGCAGCCAAACAGAGCCCGGGCATCCACCCAAAAGGTGCGAATGATCTGGGGGCCTGCTTCAAAGTGTGCCGGAGCTCTTGCCTCTCCAGGTGGCACCTGCGTTAGCTCTTGCATCGGCAGGAGTCCCCTGTGGGGGCATCCCTGAACTCCCCTAAGGGGAAGCGAGCGCCGATGCAGAGAGAGCAACATCAGGAGCCACTGAAAGGGGCAAGAACTCCGGCACACTCTGAAACAGCCTTTGATCCAGCGGACCTATTCCTGCGCTCTGAAACACTTGTCAGCTAGCAATCTACTAGTGTCTGAGGGAAGAAACAAAAGTCGATTGCGCTTACAGCCAAACAGAGCCCGGGCATCCACCCAAAGGGTGCGAAAGATCTGGGGGCGCTAACCACCAACAAAGCATCAAGCAAAGCATAGCCATGCAGCCAAACAGAGCCCGGGCATCCACCCAAAAGGTGCAAAAGATCTGGGGGCCTGCTTCAAAGTGTGCCGGACCTCTTGCCTCTCCAGGTGGCACCTGCGTTAGCTCTTGCATCGGCAGGAGTCCCCTGTGGGGGCATCCCTCAACTCCCCTAAGGGGAAGCGAGTGCCGATGCAGAGAGAGCAACGTCAGGAGCCACTTAGAGAGGCAAGAACTCCGACACACTTTGAAGCAGGCTTTGATCCAGCGGACCTATTCCTGCGCTCTGAAACACTTGTCAGCTAGCAATCTACTGGTGTCTGAGGGAAGAAACAAAAGTCAATTGCGCTGACCACCAACAAAGCATCAAGCAAAGCATAGCCATGCAGCCGAACAGAAAAGTGTCAAAACATAACGCGGGTCGGCGGCACTGGGCGGCAGCCCTTAAATTTCTTTGTCATTCCCTGTGACTGTTTAGTTGTTCGGCCTTACAAACACAGGCTGCCCCACTTGTTTTTAGAGCTTATTGCTGAATGCTAGAATGCCGCTTGTGACATACCGGTCTGAGACATTTGCAAACCAACTAACAACCACACTGAATCCGTGCTTGCTCAATTCTTATGCCCGCTCTCCTCAGCCAACTTCTGCGTAGGCGGCAAGATCTCCTGACCATTTCTAGCACTACAGAGCGGCAATATTTCTTTGTCATTCCCTGTGACTGTTTAGTTGTTCGGCCTTACAAACACAGGCTGCCCCACTTGTATATAGAGCCTATTGCTGAATGCTAGGATGCCGCTGCGACATGCCGGTCTGAAACTGCCCAACCTGACTTTTGCAAACCAACTAACAACCACACTGAATCCGTGCTTGCTCAATTCTTATGCCCGCTCTCCTCAGCCAACTTCTGCGTAGGCGGCAAGATCTCCTACAGAGCGGCAATATTTTGTGGTCATTCCCTGTGACTGTTTAGTTGTTCGGCCTTACAAACACGGGCTGCCCCACTTGTATATAGAGCTAATTGCTGAATGCTAGGATGCCGCTGTGACATGCCGGTTTGAAACTGCCACACTGAATCTGCGCTTGCTTAGCTCATGGCTTCGGAAACTGGTCGACTTCTGTTCTTGGATGCCTTTTCGCCTGGATCGCGCATGCAAGGCCCTGCATCGCAACTCTGTCTTGGCTGCGCACACCGCTCAGCCACAGCCACCCAATCCTCAAACAGTGCAAATGGCAAAAGAGATCAAGTTTGTCCAGTCCGTCCTCCAGGCTGCGTGGCCTCATGCGCCCTGTGGGCATGGGTACGGTGGGCACAGTAGGCACTGCCTGCGTCAGTGCCTCGGCGGGAAGCCGCAACACACCGGCCAGCGGGCTCTGGACCCTGTGCCTCGGTTGGCACCGGCGCGAAGTCCTCAAGCAGCGAAGCCGAGCGCGACGAGCGCGACGAGCGCGGCAAACTCCAGTCCTCGGTTGGCACAGGCCGCCGACCCATGAGGCAATGAGTGGGAGATGAGGTGGAGTGGGCGAGCAAGCTGAGCCAAGCTGAGGGCTACGGAAATCCGCGAGCCGAGCCCGGCATGCTTCTTGCACAGCTCTCTTTCACCTCTGGTACTGAGTCTCTGAGGTACTGATGGTCTATAGCACGGAGATCGCACAACAGGCAAGCCCAAGGCCCGATCTCTCGGAATTGCTGATCCTAATTCGGCACCCGCGAAGTCACGGAGGCGTGTGAGACGTGCGCAATCTCCGTCACAGCTCGCCGCAATCTTCAATCACCACCTGGACCGGTTCACTGTGCGCCACGTGCGGTCTGCCATATCCAGCCTGTTTGCTCGGTGTTCCAGACGATTGCCCGACCTGGCTTCTGCTCCCTTTTTGGCTCTCCAGCTTGAAAGCACAGCCTCCTCCATCTTCTTGACCACCTCAAAGCCGGCATGCAAACGAACCGAATCTCCGAAAGAACCCAGAAGTCAAAGAAGTCAAAGAAAGACGAGAGAAGCCGAGCCTCGTAGCCCTCCAGCACCTCGCCGAAGACCACGTGCTTGCCGTCCAGGTGTGGCGTGTCCTGGCTGTCTCTCTCCGGACGGACCCGGAGCGCACTCCGGCCTTCACCGTGATGAAGAACTGGCTACCGCCCGGCCCGGCCTCAGCTCTTTGGCTTCGAAAACTTTGGCTTTCTCGAGGCAAGGGAAGAGAGGGCCGTGCATTCGCCATGCTCAGCAGCCCAGGCCTCAGATGGAACGCCGGATACGTCCGATGCAAATCAAATTTGCATGCGGCCCTTCACCCCTTCGGCCCTTCACCCCTTCGGCCCTTCGGCCCTTCGGCCCTTCGGCCCCCGGCTTGGTGTGCTTGATGCGGAGGTTCTCGTCGGCGAACTTCTCTCCTATGCGTGACAGAGCCCCATCGGATCCCATCGGGCTCAGGCCGCGCATCCCAGTCCGTAAATCGACTCGCCGCCGGTGCCGTTGCCATGGGTGAAGTCACCACCCTGGAAGGATCAAGGATCCATGCGGCGCATGGGCAAGCCCCGGCCTGGCACATGAACTTCGGGATGATGCGATGAAAGCTGCTGCCCTGTCAAAGAGCAGCTTTAGCTTCTGGAAGCTTACAGCTTGCGACAGACCTTGAAGTGCAAAGGCTTCCCAGCCTGACAGGACTGCTGTGCAAGCGCACAAGCACCCGAGACGTGAGGTGCTGGCTTTTCCCTCGCCCTTCTCGCCAGTGCAAAGCGCCCGGAAGTTTTCGGCCTTGCTTTGATCCTCTTTGATCTTTGAAAAAGATAGCCACTCGAACGCGCCCGAGCTTCCCTGCCGTCTTTGGCACCTGGCGTATCCAGTTCCCGAGGCTCCCGAGGCTCCCGAGGCTCCCGAGGCTTTCCCGAGATTGCCTGCTTGCCGTAGAGGCCCATGACGATCCTGCCAGCTTTTTGGCCATCCAAGGAGATGTCCATGAAGACCTCACAGCACACGCGATCTCAAGACCTTCTCCTCGCTTTCACGTTTTCGCGCTTGCGTCCTTGTGTGTGACAGAGGTGTCTGGCGGCAAGTCCTCGCATTTCAGGAGGAACTCCCACCTGTCCCACCTCAAGACTCGTCTCGGAGTGTAAACCTTCCTGCTGCTTTCCCTTCAGAGCTCCCAGCTTGGACTTCTTCATCAGCACCACGACAATGCATCTCCTTCCTTTGCTGTCCTGTCTGAATCTGACATCTGCACTCATGTTCGAACGCACTGGTCCTTATCTCCTTATCCAGCTCCCAGCTCGATTCCTCTGCATCCACCTCCTTCCACAGGGAATCGTCCTCATTTGATGAGAGCTAAAACGCCCACAGAGAAGCCTTGTGCAAGGCTCCGGGCAATCACCGGCTCCTGCCCCTTCAAGCCAACCTGCGAGATTTCCCGCATTTCTCCGTGCATCCGCGCAGTGCATCCGATCCCACCTTCAATGCCTTCTTGGTGATCTTCACCTCGCTTTCAAAACCGTCATCCATGAGGATGCACGAGGATGCGTGAGCCCCGAGCATCGCAGTCCTTCGATTTGATGCCTTCCTCCACCGGGACGAGGACCTGCCCGGAATCCAGATCTGCCGGAATCTTTCGGAATCCGGATCTCGGATCTTGGGGATATCCGCCTTGATCTCCTCGCTGTCGTCCTCCCCGTTGTAGGACCACTCGTACTTTCCGGCTTGGCCCGGCATGGCCTGGCGACTCGACCCTTCAGCCAGACCCTGAGATGACTGAGTTTTGGCCTGGTTGACTCCGAGGCTGCCAAGCAGTTGCGGTGAAGGCGGCAAGGATTGCGTTATGCAAAACGTTCTGAACATGCAATGAATCTTGAAGTCTGCGGCAATGTCAATGTCATTTTCACCACTCTCCAAGGTCCAGCGTGTGAGGCGCACTCAACATGGAAACTCTAGGAAAACGGGCACCCAAACGCTCTGTACGGTTTGTACATCGATGGGACGCCTTGCAACCGCAGTGCTAGACGTGCGGAAACAGCAGAGCATCAGGTGAGTCCTTGATAAAAGCATGGCGCAACACAGCTGGCATTGGCAAGTGCATAGTGACTCAGTGCATAGTCCTCTGATCCACTCAGCCTGGAATTCCACGGCAAGCGGCTTCCAACTGCAATCTTCTCTCGATTCTGCCTCCACTCTTCGCGCAGCTCTGCCTGAGCGAGCCTTGCATGCTAAGCTGCTAGCTGCTAAGCTGCGCGAACGACCGCGAACCGTGCAACGAGAGGCGAGCGATGCGAGCGAATTGCCTGAGCTGAAGCAAGTCGTCCTGGCCTGGGCTCGGAGACTCGGAGACTCGGAACCGCTTCCGTCGCTCTGAAGCCGACGTCGCCTCACCTCTTTGCTGGGGCCCCTGGCATGCACGTATCTCGGCCTGCTGCAAGGGCGACAGCCTCGAAACATCACAGCCCAGGGGAGAGACATTGACATAAATCGACGGATTACACTCGTTCGGCACTCGTTCGGACGTGGTCTCATGCCCTGGGTCGTGGCAGCTGCAAGCGGCGCTCGCCCTGACGCGCGCACCGTCAGAGGTCCCAAGCGCCCCAAGGCCAAGCGACGCCACGCCTCTGCGACCTCGTTCTCCAGGCAGGCCAGCTCCATTCTGTACAGCTGGGCACGGAACACCTCGATCTCTGACTCACGTGTTCATTTTATCTTGCTTCCCCATTCATTCCCAAGCTCTCGCCTGCTCCCAGCCTCCCACCTGGCATCAATGTCACATGCCGGGACCTTTGCAGCCCATGCCCCTGCCCCTGCCTCGGGTTCGGGTTTGGGTTCGGGTTTGGGTTCCGGTTCGACCGCCTTCTCGTCCGGCGGCTCCTGCTCCTGGAACTCCTGAGCTGGCGTTCGCTTCACAGACTCACGAAAGACCAGGCCGGGCGCACGACGCTCGACTGCGAGCTTGCATCCAACGAGGAAGCCCTACGCACAACTGCGAACTGAAACAAGCTTCAAAACCTCCAAAAGCTCCAAAAGCTCCAAACGCTCCAAAACCTCCAAAAGCTCCAAAAGAATTGAAACCTCCAAAACCTCCAAAAGCTCCAAAAGCAAGCTCCAAAGGCTTCGAAACCTCGAAAAACTCCAAAACCTCCAGAATTTCCAAAACCTCCAAAAGCTCGAAAAACTCCAAAACCTCCAAAACCTCCAAAACCTTCAAAACTTTCAAAACTTCCAAAAACTTCGAAACCTCCAAAACCTCCAAAAGCTTCAAAACCTCCAAAAGCTCCAAACACTCCAAAAGCTCCAAACACTCCAAACCTCCAAAACCTCCAAAAGCTGCAAAAACCTCCAAAACCTGCAAACCTCCAAAAGCTCCAAAAACTCCAAAAGCTCCAAAAGCTCCAAAGTTTCGAAACCTGCAAAAGCTCCAACAGCTCCAAACACTCCAAAAGCTCCAAAAACTCCAAAAGCTCCAAAAGCTCCAAAAGCTCCAAAAGCTCCAAAAGCTTCAAACAATCCAAAACCTCCAAAAGCTCCAAAAGCTCCAAACACTGCAAAACCTCCCAAAGCTTCGAAACCTCCAAAAGCTCCCAAAACCTCAAAAAGCTCCGAAACCTCCAAAACCTCCAAAAGCTTCAAAACCTCCAAAAGCTGCAAAACCTCAAAAAGCTTCAAAACCTCCAAAAGCTCCAAAACCTCCAAAAGCTCCAAAAGCTCCAAAAGCTCCAAAAGCTCCAAAAGCTTCAAACAATCCAAAACCTCCAAAAGCTCCAAAACCTTCGAAACCTCCAAAAGCTCCAAAAGCTTCGAAACCTCCAAAAGCTGCAAAACCTCCAAAAGCTTCAAAACCTCCAAAAGGACCAAAAGCTTCGAAACCTCCAAAAGCTTCAAAAGCTTCGAAACCGAGAAAAACTCCAAAACCTCCAGAATTTCCAAAAACTCCAAAACCTCCAAAAGCTCGAAAAGCTTCAAATCCTCCAAAAGCTCCAAACACTCCAAAAGCTCCAGACACTCCAAAACCTCCAAAAGCTCCAAAACCTTCGAAACCTCCAAAAGCTTCAAAAGCTCCAAAACCTTCGAAACCTCCAAAAGCTCCAAGAGCTTCGAAACCTCCAAAAGCTCCAAAAGCTCCAAAACCTCCAAAAGCTCCTAAAGCTCGAAAACCTCCAAAACCTCCAAAAGCTTCGAAACCTCCAAAAGCTCCAAAAGCTTCGAAACCTCCAAAACCTCCAAAAACTCCAAAAGCTTCGAAACCTCCAAAAGCTCCAACAGCTCCAAACACTCCAAAAGCTCAACACTCCAAAACCTCCAAAAGCTCCAAAAGCTTCGAAACTTCCAAAAGCTCCAAGAGATTCGAAACCTCCAAAAGCTCCAAAACCTCCAAGAGCTCCAAAAGCTCGAAAACCTCCAAAAGCTCCAAAAGCTTCAAAACCTCCAAAAGCTCCAAAAGCTCCAAAGGATCGAAACCTCCAAAAGCTCGAAAAAATTCCAAAAGCTTCGAAACCTCCAAATGCTCCAAAAGCTCCAAAAGCTTCGAAACCTCCAAATGCAAGCTTCAAAGGCTTCGAAACCTCGAAAAACTCCAAAACCTCCAGAATTTCCAAAACCTCCAAAAGCTCGAAAAACTCCAAAACCTCCAAAAGCTCCAAAAGCTTCAAACAATCCAAAACCTCCAAAAGCTCCAAAACCTTCGAAACCTCCAAAAGCTTCAAAAGCTCCAAAAGCTCCAAGAGCTTCGAAACCTCCGAAAGCTCCAAAACCTCCAAAAGCTCCAAAAACCTCCAAAAACTCCAAAAGCTCCAAAAGCTTCGAAACCTCCAAAACCTCCAAAAGCTGCAAAACCTCCAAAAGCTTCCAAACCTCCAAAACCTCCAAAAGCTTCGAAACCTCCAAAACCTGCAAAAGCTCCAAAAGCTCGAAAACCTCCAAAAGCTCCAAAAGCTTCGAAACCTCAAACAGCTCCAAAACCTTCGAAACCTCCAAAAACTCCAAAAGCTCCAAAAGCTTCGAAACCTCCAAAAGCAAGCTCCAAAGGCTTCGAAACCTCGAAAAACTCCAAAACCTCCACAATTTCCAAAACCTCCAAAAGCTCCAAAAGCTTGAAAAACTCCAAAACCTCCAAAAGCTCCAAAAGCTTCAAACAATCCAAAACCTCCAAAAGCTCCAAAACCTTCGAAACCTCCAAAAGCTTCAAAAACTCCAAAAGCTTCGAAACCTCCAAAAGCTCCAAAAGCTTCGAAACCTCCGAAACTCCAAAAGCTTCGAAACCTCCAAAAGCTCCAAAACCTGCAAAAGCTCCAAAAGCTCGAAAACCTCCAAAAGCTTCGAAACTTCCAAAAGCTCCAAAAGCTCCAAAACCTTCCAAAAGCTCCAAAAGCTCCAAAAGCTCCAAAACCTTCAAAAGCTCCAAAAGCTTCGAAACCTCCAAAACCTCCAAAAGCTGCAAAAGCTTCGAAACCTCCAAAACCTCCAAAACCTCCAAAAGCTCCAAAAGCTTCGAAACCTCGAAAAACTCCAAAACCTCCAGAATTTCCAAAACCTCCAAAAGCTCCAAAAGCTCCAAAACCTCCAAAAGCTCCAAAAGACTCGAAAAACTCCAAAAACTCCAAAAGACTCGAAAAACTCCAAAAGCTCCAAAAGACTCGAAAAGCTCTAAAAGCTCCAAAAGACTCGAAAAGCTCCAAAAGCTTCGAAACCTCCAAAAGCTCCAAAAGACCCGAAAAACTCCAACAGCTCCAAAAGGTTCAAAAGACTCGAAAAACTCCAAAAGCTCCAAAAAGCTCCAAAAAGCTCCCAAAAGACTCGAAAAACTCCGAAACCTCCAAAAGCTCCAAAAGACTCAAAAAACTCCAACAGCTCCAAAAGCTCTAAAAGACTCGGAGAAACTCCAAAAGACTCGAAAAACTCCAAAAGCTCCCAAAAGACTCCAAAAGCTCCAAAAAGCTCCCAAAAGACTCGAAAAACTCCAAAAGCTCCAAAAGACTCTAAAAGCTCCAAAAGCTCCAAAAGACTCGAAAAGCTCCAAAAGCTTCGAAACCTCCAAAAGCTCCAAAAAGCTCCCAAAAGACTCGAAAAACTCCGAAACCTCCAAAAGCTCCAAAAGACTCAAAAAACTCCAACAGCTCCACAAGCTTCAAAAGACTCGAAAAACTTCAAAAGCTCCAAAAAGCTCCCAAAAGACTCGAAAAACTCCGAAACCTCCAAAAGCTCCAAAAGACTCAAAAAACTCCAACAGCTCCACAAGCTTCAAAAGACTCGAAAAACTTCAAAAGCTCCAAAAAGCTCCCAAAAGACTCGAAAAACTCCAAAAGCTCCAAAAAGCTCCCAAAAGACTCGAAAAACTCCAAAAGCTCCAAAAAGCTCCCAAAAGACTCGAAAAACTCCAAAAGCTCCAAAAAGCTCCCAAAAGACTCGAAAAACTCCCAAAAGACTCGAAAAACTCCAAAAGCTCCAAAAAGCTCCCAAAAGACTCGAAAAACTCCAAAAGCTCCAAAAAGCTCCCAAAAGACTCGAAAAACTCCAAAAGCTCCGAAAGCTCCAAAAAGCTCCCAAAAGACTCGAAAAACTCCAAAAGCTCCAAAAAGCTCCCAAAAGACTCGAAAAACTCCAAAAGCTCCAAAAGACTCGAAAAGCTCCAAAAGCTCCAAAAGACTAGAAAAAAGCCAAAAGCTCCACAAGCTCCAAAAGCTTGGAAAGCTCCAAAAAGCTCCCAAAAGACTCGAAAAACTTCGAAAGCTCCAAAAAGCTCCAAAAAGACTCGAAAAACTCCGAAACCTCAAAAGCTCCAAAAGACTCAAAAAACTCCAACAGCTCCAAAAGCTCTAAAAGACTCGGAGAAACTCCAAAAGACTCGAAAAACTTTAAAAGCTCCCAAAAGACGCGAAAAACTCCAAAAGCTCCAAAAGACTCGAAAAACTCCAAAAGCTCCAAAAGACTCGAAAAACTCCAAAAGCTCCAAAAAGCTCGCAAAAGACTCGAAAAAAACTCAAAAAAATCGAAAAACTCCAAAAGCTCCAAAAAGCTCCCAAAAGACTCGAAAAACTCCAAAAGCTCCAAAAGACTCGAAAAGCTCCAAAAGCTCCAAAAAGCTCCCAAAACACTCGAAAACTCCAAAAGCTCCAAAAGACTCGAAAAACTCCAAAAGCTCCAAAAAGCTCCCAAAAGACTCGAAAAACTCCAAAAGCTCCAAAAGCTCCAAAAGACTCGAAAAACTCCAAAAGCTCCAAAAAGCTCCCAAAAGACTCGAAAAACTCCAAAAGCTCCAAAAAGCTCCCAAAAGACTCGAAAAACTCCAAAAGCTCCAAACAACCTCCAAAAGACTTGAAAAAACCAACTCAAAAGCTCCAAAAGCCACAAAAGACTCGAAAAACTCCAAAAGCTCAAAAAGCTCAAAAGACTCGAAAAAACTCCCAAAAGCTCCAAACGCTCAACAAGATCGAAAAACTCTAAAAGCTCCAAAAAGCTCCAAAAGACTCGAAAAACTCCAAACGCTCAAAAGCTCCAAAGACTCGAAAAAACTCCAAAAGCTCCACAAAAGCTCCCAAAAGAATCGAAAAACTCCAAAAGCTCCAAAAAGCTCCCAAAAGACTCGAAAAACTCCAAACGCGAAAAACTCCAAAAGCTCCAAAAGACTCGAAAAGCTCCAAAAGCTCCAAAAGCTCCAAAAGACTAGAAAAAAGCCAAAAGCTCCACAAGCTCCAAAAGCTTGGAAAGCTTCAAAAAGCTCCCAAAAGACTCGAAAAACTTCGAAAGCTCCAAAAAGCTCCAAAAAGCTCCCAAAAGACTCGAAAAACTCCGAAACCTCCAAAAGCTCCAAAAGACTCAAAAAACTCCAACAGCTCCAAAAGCTCTAAACTCCAAAAGACTCGAAAAACTCCAAAAGCTCCCAAAAGACGCGAAAAACTCCAAAAGCTCCAAAAGACTCGAAAAACTCCAAAAGCTCCAAAAGATTCGAAAAACTCCAAAAGCTCCAAAAAGCTCGCAAAAGACTCGAAAAACTCCAAAAGCTCCAAAAAGACTCCAAAAGCTCCAAAAGCTCCAAAAGACTCGAAAAACTCCGAAAGCTCCAAAAAGCTCTCAAAAAAATCGAAAAACTCCAAAAGCTCCAAAAAGCTCCCAAAAGACTCGAAAAACTCCGAAAGCTGCAAAAGCTTCAAAAGACTCGAAAAACTCCAAAAGCTCCAAAAGCTCCAAAAGACTCGAAACGCTCCAAAAGCTCCAAAAGACTCGAAAAACTCCAAAAGCTCCAAAAGCTCCAAAAGACTAGAAAAAAGCCAAAAGCTCCACAAGCTCCAAAAGCTTGGAAAGCTCCAAAAAGCTCCCAAAAGACTCGAAAAACTCCAAAAGCTCCAAAAGCTCCAAAAGCTCCAAAAGACTCGAAAAACTCCAAAAGCTCCAAAAAGCTCCCAAAAGACTTGAAAAACTCCAAAAGCTCCAAAAGCTCCAAAAGACTCGAAAAACTCCAAAAGCTCCAAGAAGCTCCCAAAAGACTCGAAAAACTCCAAAAGCTCCAAAAGCTCCAAAAGACTCGAAAAACTCCAAAAGCTCCAAAAAGCTCCCAAAAGACTCGAAAAACTCCAAACGCTCCAAAAGCTCCAAAAGACTCGAAAAACTCCAAAAGCTCCAAAAAGCTCCCAAAAGACTCGAAAAACTCCAAAAGCTCCAAAAAGCTCCCAAAAGACTCGAAAAACTTCGAAAGCTCCAAAAAGCTCCAAAAAGCTCCCAAAAGACTCGAAAAACTCCCAAAAGACTCCAAAAGACTCGAAAAACTCCAAAAGCTCCAAAAAGCTCCCAAAAGACTCGAAAAACTCCAAAAGCTCCAAAAAGCTCCCAAAAGACTCGAAAAACTCCAAAAGCTCCAAAAGACTCGAAAAACTCCAAAAGCTCCAAAAAGCTCCCAAAAGACTCGAAAAACTCCAAAAGCTCCAAAAAGCTCCCAAAAGACTCGAAAAACTCCAAAAGCTCCAAAAACTCGCTCCAAAAACTCCAAAAGACTCGAAAAACTCCAAAAGCTCCAAAAAGCTCCCAAAAGACTCGAAAAACTCCAAAAGCTCCAAAAGACTCGAAAAACTCCAAAAGCTCCAAAAAGCTCCCAAAAGACTCGAAAAACTCCAAAAGCTCCAAAAAGCCCCCAAAAGACTCGAAAAACTCCAAAAGCTCCAAAAAGCTCCCAAAAGACTCGAAAAACTTCAAAAGCTCCAAAAAGCTCCCAAAAGACTCGAAAAACTCCAAAAGCTCCAAAAAGCTCCCAAAAGACTCGAAAAACTCCAAAAGGACTTGAATGGCAAGAGTGTCCCGGAGTGCCACTTGCGCGCCTCGTGGACTCGGCCTCGTGCACGGCCGCCTGCGCAAAGAGAGCCATGGCAGCTCAGCGCAGGCGGTGCGCCCGCGCCTCGAGGCGTTTCCGCCACTCGTCCAGGCCTGGCCACATCCCTTCGAGTCCAAGGTTTTCAGGTTTTGTGACAGCTTTCACTCGGATTTCCAGCTCCCAAATCCGCTGACGCCAGTCCAGCGTGCAACTTGCTCTTCCCAACATTTTCTGGGCTGTCTTGGCAGCATGACTATTGTTGTGTTGTCGGGGGCAAAAAATGTATCCCCATTGTTGTGCGGTCGGTAGAAACACTGGCTTTTTGCACGCTGCATCCCCAGCATTCCTTGCACCCCCGCCACAGTGCTTGGCGATTTTTTGGCGTCTGAGGTTCATGACATTTTGGGGTCTGGCCTGCAGTCTGCTTCCGCCTTTTCAGCAGCATATGTGAGGGATAGGCAGTTGGTCGCAGTCGTCTCACAACAAATGGCAGAGGCGGATCGCGTAGCGATTTTAATATGGATTCAAGTGGCTTGGCCGTGCCTGCAGCGTGGGACATCGCCTGGAATGTGCATCCACACACATGTCACATGAATATTCTACGGCAGTATGCCCGAGACAAGGACACTTTGGGCTCGTGATGTGGGCCTCATCCATGGCGAAAGCCAAAAAGCTGTTGCTAAGACACTGGCAGTTGCTTGCTCAGTTGCTTGGTCAGTTGCTTGTGTTCGCTCTCTTGGCGCTTGCTTGGGCCGTGGGCTTGCTCTGGGCAGTTGCAGCGTGCCATGTGCAAGCGATGAACTGAGAGGAAGAGCTATGCGAGCCTTTTGCCCCAAAGCTGTCACAGGGTGACATCCTCCTTGGCCATGATCTCGCGGAAGACCATCCACATTGAGCTACCCTTGGACAAATTCAGAATGATGGTGTCGCCGTGGTGCAACTGCCACCTGCCATCCTGAGAAAGCAAAGAGCAAAGCCAGTGCTTGAAACTTCAGCCGCTTCACTTCCCCGGCCTCTGGAAGACGCATGCTCTCGTGGCCGCCATCCTCCGGCTGAGCATCAAAAATGCAAACCCGCAAGCCCCGCACGCACTGTGCTTTGTCCTCCGGGGCCCCCTCCACTCGGAGGGGCATAGAGCTGAGATTCCTGGGTGGCAAGTTGGTGGCAAGTTGGTGGCAAGTTGGTGGCAAGTTGAAACGAATGGCAAAATTTGAAAGCACTCGCCTTAGAAGGAAGCGGCGCTCCGCTGCCTCCTCCACCTGGCCACTCTGACCCGACTTGCATCATGCAAAACGCTGGAAGGGGCCTCGATCTGGAGGTGCCGAGGCGCAAGAAAATGAATCCTGTCACCGCCACAAACATACCAAGCGTGGCACACCGAGCACGTGTCGGCCGCACGCTTCATCGTTGAGGATCCGTTGCCAAAAGCCTCCCAAAAGCACAGCACGAGGCTAAGATCTATGTGCCAAAAATGCCAAAGGTGCAAAAGGAGCGCCTGCTTGTAGGCTGCCCAGCAACAAGGGAGGGCATGGCGCCTGGAAGATGCCGTTTGCACGTCAACCGTCCCCGAAACCGACCTCGCAGCCCGGCGCTGCAGCGCAGGCAGAAGCGGAGGGCCCGTGCAGCACATGGCGCTGCTCCCACGGCCCCCGCACTGCGGTGCCGCCCACCTGAGCATCGGACAGGCATCGCGGCATCGCGGCATCGAGGCATCGAGGCATCGCGACGAAGGCTCAGAAGGCTCAGAAAGCTCACGGCACGCCTCCAGGACGAAGATAGGCTCCACATCAGCTCCGACGAAGGAGACACCGCCCGGGATGGACACGCCGCAACTCGAGCGGAGCGGGAGCCGAAGCGCGCGAAGCGAAGCGAACACGCCTCTCTGGCATCTCCGACTCCTTGCGGGGCTGAGGCGGGCCTCCGAGAGCACAAACCGAAAAACTGAAAAGAGCCGCAAAAAGCGCAAGCGCTGCAAAGCTGCGCTGAGCAGCTCGACCCTCGCCTGGGCTCGGCGACCTTCTGGGCACGGGCCTCACTCGGCTCAGTGCCTCTGAGCACAGAGCACGCAGCTCGCCGGCAGCTCTCGCCTCGCGCTCCGCTTCAGCATGGACTCGTAAATCTCCTGAGACTTTCCGACTTTCCGGGTTCACGCCGAGGCTTCTGAATTCCGAAACAGGTGGCCAGGAGGTGCATCCATGTTGGGGGCACTCCGCAACAGAACCGAGCACTCAAACAGACCCCACCAGCAACCCGGCAGCCGGCACTGACTGCCCTCAGTAGCCACGCAAGCACGAAAACGTCCCACACACCAGGAAACAGCGTGTCTGCGCGTCTTCCGCTGGCTTCCCGCAGCACGGCACGTGTCGGATTTTTGTTGGGTTTTGCTGGGGTAAATGCAAAAGCTTTGCTTGCGCGTTCCCGCGACAAATTGCCGAAAGCCTGTCGCTTCTGGCACGCAGGAGTTCCGGGCGTTCCTCCAAGTCCCTTTTCCGTTTCACAGCTGACAACATGCAAAAAAACAGAGCCACAAAACATGTTTTCTCGAGAAGAGCAATTTGCCAAGTAGATCGTCATTTTTCAGTTTGTTTTTGCCAGGCTGGAAAATGTGAAGCTAGCACCATGATGAGCTCAGACTGGCATCTTCTATGGGGCTTCTAACAAAACTAGACCACGGTTGGCCCGAAAGCATAACATCGCAAGCGAGGTCGGCCCAACGCTGCAGGATGCGTTCTTTTTCCCTACGCGAAGCATTCGTGAAGCAAGTGCGCGACAGCACCAGGCAAGGTGCTCTGCGCAAACTGGTCGGTGCAAGTTGGTCTGCGCAAGTTGCTCTACGCAAGTTGCACTGTGCAAGTTGCTCGGCGCAAGTTGCTCCGCGCAAGTTGCTCCGTGCAAGTTGCTCCCAGCAAGTTGCTCTGTGCAAGCTGCTCTGTGCAAGTTGCTCTGTGCAAGTTGCTCTGCGTAAGTTGCTCTGCGCAAGTTGCTCTAGGCAAGGCGCTCTGCGCAAACTGGTCGGTGCAAGTTGGGCTGCGCAAGTTGCTCTGTGCAACTTGCTCTGCGCAAGTTGCTCTGCGCAAGTTGCTGTAAAATGCAAGTTGCATCTTGCGACGCCCGCCCGCGGACCAGGGAGGAATCGAACCCGCGACCCGCCGGTTCCGGGAGCAGGCGCGCGAACCACGAGACAACCCCCGAAGACCAGTTCGAACAACAAAAGTCGCAAAAACCTCGAGTTTTTGCACCTCCACCACGCCGATTCCCGCAGAGGGTTGCGCGAGCACCGCAGAAATCGCAAAAAACCTCGAGTTTTTGCACCTCGACCACGCCGATCCCCGCAAAGGGTCGCGCGAGCAGGTTAGAAATCGCAAAAAACCATGGGTTTTTGCACCTCGACCACGCCGATCCCCGCAGAGGGTCGCGCGAGCAGGTTAGAAATCGCAAAAAACCATGGGTTTTTGCACCTCGACCACGCCGATCCCCGCAGAGTGTCGCGAGAGCACCATTTAGAAATCGCAAAAAACCTCGAGGTTTTCTGCACTCGGGACCGCGCCCGATCCCCGCAAAGGGGTCGATTTTAGTGTAGTGTCGTCGGACCAACCGCCCGCCTAGAAGAGATTTTAACTCTCGCAAGTCAATTGCACTGATCCTTGCACTTGCAACTTGCATTGACTCATGCTCTCGCCGGCTGGCACTTGCCACCTTAGCACTGCAAACTTGCACTTGACTCCATGAACTTGGCTCCTTGCACTTTGGGTCCTTTGCACTTGGCCTCCTTGCACTTGGCTCTTGGGCACTCTGCAACTTGCACTGAATCTCCTGCAATGACTCCTTGCCTTGCAATGACTCCTTGCAATGACTCCTTGCAATGACTCCTTGCAATGACTCCTTGCAATGACTCCTTGCAATGACTCCTTGCCATGACTCCTTGCAATGACTCCTTGCAATGACTCCTTGCAATGACTCCTTGCAATGACTCCTTGCAATGACTCCTTGCAATGACTCCTTGCATTGACTCCTTGATGACTCTTGCAATGACTCCTTGCAATGACTCCTTGCAATGACTCCTTGCAAGGACTCCTTGCAATGACTCCTTGCAATGACTCCTTGCAATGACTCCTTGCAATGACTCCTTGCAATGACTCCTTGCCATGACTCCTTGCAATGACTCCTTGCCATGACTCCTTGCAATGACTCCTTGCAATGACTTTCATGATGATGTTCTCTTGCAATGACTCCTTGCAATGACTTTCATGATGATGTTTCCTTGCAATGACTCCTTGCAATGACTCCTTGCAATGACTTTCAGGATGATGATTCCTTGCAATGGCACCTTGTAATGACTCTCATGAGAACAACTCAAGTGAACCCAGCGGAAGAACCCTTCGCCATGCTTTCGGGCTTTTTGCGCTGGGCCAAACACATTGGCAAAACGCGTGTCTGAGCCCGAAAAATCGTGTCGAGTCTTCGCTTTGTCTGCAAGACTGAATGTGGCCCAAACAAACTAATATTTTTGGCTTCTTTTGGTACAGTCCTTGAGCACCTCGTAATAGAAACCGCGTTGGTGCGGCGCGAGCTTCGCGCTCACGGGACGCTCTGCCGCAGCCTGCGCTGCAATTATCCGGCCAGAATTAAGTCGCAGACCTCAGCTGCTGCAAGGCAGTGCTCCTTGACAGCACCGATGAAGTCTGCCCTTCCAGTTTCAAGTTGGCGCCCAAGTTGTCCAAGTTCTGCCAGTACTCCGAAGCCACGAGACGACATGCGTCAATATTCCGAGATTCTTTCGGTAATCTTTGACACTCGGCAGGCAGGCCATTGTTCGCAGGACGTATGGCGGCGGTGTGTCCAGATCCTCTCTGTAGCCTCGCAGCCAGTCAATGAAGCACATATCGTCTGCTCGATGCTGACACCGTAAACACTTGCTGAGAGACAGATGGACCTCGCATGTCTCCAGACTTGGCACGTGGACTTCCTTGGCGCAGCAGCTGAACGTGCAGAACGCTTGCAAGCGCAGCCGTGCGACCGTTTGCGCAGCAGAGGGCGACAGGTGTCGCAGCACGCCATACGCAGCCTGCACACCGCTTGTGCCTTCTTGGACCAGCATGGTTGGACTCGTTGGCTAGGCTGTGCGTTGCATTGCGCCCTACCTGCGTGTCCTGGTGACAGAGCCGTGTCTGGAAGTATGGCCGCACGCACGCCTGCGCTAACTTGACTCGGCGCAGCCAAGCTCGCACAAAGGCGTGGAGATGAGCAGGCACCCGAAAAGGTGAATGAGGCCCAGCGAGCAGGTACCAGAGATCGCAGGAGACGCAGCACCTCAACGATGGCGTTGCTGAGCAGAGGCTTGCCAGCAGTAGCCTCGCGCCAGACCCAGGAATGCCACTGCGTGCTGCACATACCTGGTGCCAGTCTGATGAGGGGCCCAGTCCACTAACCTCACGTGGCTGAGGTAGCTACAGCATGGCACTCAGATCCACCACGCCGTGTGTAAGCTCCAAGCGGAGATGTCTCACTGCCTGCGCACGCCCGACAAACTTGGAAAGGCTCCACCGATCGTAGTGATACTGGAGAAGTGCACGACTGCCGGGCAGCATTTCCAAAGAAAGGACGCCTTTGGCGACTTCATGCGGCTGTCGGCAGCTGACAATCTGAAGGCTCGGTTGGGGCGCAGATCTGGCCAGAGCGCGCATTCCAAATATAGCTCGAGCAAGACTGTGAGTGGCAGGATGCGTGTGTCGTCTTCGGCGCCCAGCAGACGGGCGTCGCGTCGCTGGACGTTCTCCTTGTGTGGGCTGCTTCCAGCCGACCACGCATGGCCAGTGTGGGCCGGCGTGTCTCACCGCCTGCTCCACAATCGCAAGCCACAGAGCTTTCGGAGATGGAGGCCCGGCGGGTAAGAGTACGCGACGGAGAAAAACAGGAAAATGGCCAGGCAGGCGGAGAAGAAGGATCAGTGATGAATGAGGAATCTTCACAGCGTCCAAGCGCTGCATGAGTGTCCTGACTTAGGTGACGGAGGCTGGCAGAGGCACACCACGACGTGCTCCTTCCCCTTTCTTTTTGAGGAGAGCCGACTCTTCCTCACGCGCCGGTGCCCAGTCCTCCTCAGTTGTGGAGCAAGGTCTTGGGCTCATAACCTATGACTCTGCGCCCTTTTTTTCTTAGGGCCGTTAAAGGGTCTGCGATAATCGCATGTTCAATTGCAGGTGGATTGTCACCCCAAGAAACAACAGACAAGGGACACCAAAGGCAAACCAGAAAAGGATCGAACCCTTGCATCTAAATTGGCACTGTGGCTGACACACTCTGCAGACGGATTTGCCCCGGCCCTTTGGCAAAGGGAGCGCTATCTTCACATCTCCCATCCTCTGTGAATGTTTGGCGCAACACTTGCGTTTTTGGCTCCAGGTTCCTGGCAACAAAAATCATGTCCAGGACCCTGACGGACGCGCGCAGCGTGGAGCACGGGGATAGCCGAGCTGGCCTGGGTAAGGCGGACAAAGAGCGGGCCTTCCCAGAGAGGGGTTGTGGCCTAGAGCCGGAGCTTGACCCGAGGAGAGGCAGAATGCCGAGGACGCGGATTGGCTCGGAGCGCATCAGCGTCATGAGGAGGAGTGGGCCGATCGGAGGAAATTATACGGGATCGGGGACACATTTGAGGGAATGGACGGGCTACAGCGTTTTTAAGAAGAATGCGACGCCAGGGCCGCGGATGGGTTCTTGAGCTGTGATTAACAGTGCCAATAGCGCTCTGACTCCGGATGCAGTTTGCCCGATTTTAGGGTGTTGGCACAAACTGCCAAGGGGGGGGTGCATGAGGCATCCACCTGCGTTTGAACATGGGAGAATTGCAGACCCTTTAATTGCCCAAAGGAAAGAGGGCACAGAGCTCAAACAAAAACAACTTGCTTGGCGCAAACAAGTTGGCTTGCAAGTTGCGGGGTTCATTTTTAAGAACCGGGCGCCAAGAAAAGCAATTTGCTTGAGCAAAAAATTTAATGGTTCATTTTGTTTGCCACCTGCGCAGATTGCAAGAAACAAAAAATGCGGGTCAGCGTGTGTTATCAAGCCTAGGCCACCTAAGGTAATACCTAGGCAAGCAGCAAACCGTTGACTACTTTTCACACT